GCCCGGCCGGGCTACTTTTTTCTTAAAGCAACAAGCTTCCAGACCTCTGACTATAGCAGTATTACTGGCAGGAAGCATAGCTTTTTTTTTTTTTTTTTCTTCCCACTTGATTTCAGAGAGAAGAAGGGAGAGGAAGAGATAGAAACATTAATGATGAGAGTCATTGATCGGCTGCCTCCTGCACGCCTCCCACTGGGGATCGAGCCTGAAACCCAGGCATGTGCCCTGACCGGGAATTGAACTGTGGCCTCCTGGTTCATAGGGGGACACTCAAGGACGCTCAGCCACTGAGCCACGCCGGCCCAGCAGCCCACTTTCTTGACCACTAGCAGCCCTCTTTTCGGCGGCAGGCCCTCGGACAGTTTCCCCTGGATGACAGCCTGGCCTGGAGGGAGGAAAACAGCCCCAGAGGGAAGTCCCCAGGAGCTTCCAGCCACCCCAAGTCCCACAGAACGTTGGCCGTCACAAACCTTGGCAACCACCTCAGGCACAGGCTTCCCAGGGCAGCTGGCAGGTGGCTCCACTGTAGTACCTGCAAAGACACAGCTGGCCTGTCCCTGCTCCAACGGTCGGTGCAGACTCAGTCCCATGGCCTGCCCCCAATCTCCACTGGATGCACAGACTAGTCTCCGCAGCAGGCCACAAGCCATCTGAGAGGTTCAGGGGGCACAGGGCAGGCAGGCCAGCAACCAGCCAGGCCCACAGGAGCACCTGCTCAGCCAGGAGCAGTGGCCGGAGCCCTGGGGCAGCCAGCCAGGAGATGGCAAGCTTAGGGTCCCACAAAGGGTGCGGGAGCATGGACAGGGCCCCCAGGCTGGGTAAGCCCAGGGATCTGCCTCAGCTGGCGCCACCAATCAGGAAGGGCAGCCAGCCTGTGGCACAGGCACCCTACGGGGCTAGGATGGCCCCTGACCGAGGCTCTAGGGTCCAAGACCCCTCTGCAACCCATTGGGGATAGGTCCTGGGTGAGAAACCTGACCCACAGCCCACAACAGACAGCACCCAAGAGAGAGCTGGGTAGAAGGCCTGGCCAGGGTGGTGGGTGCCTCCAAAGCCTGCTTGCCCAGGGAGAGGACAGCAAGGAACCAGCAGTGGGCCCCATGCCCCCCTCCCTCACCGCTGGAAGCTCAGCACCTTGTAGTACCCCTTGCTCTCATTCAGGTAGAGCTCCGGAAAGCAGAGGTCGCAGGTGCATGCCCCAGGCTGGCCCAGCACCCTGGCTCACCCTCCTGCACCCAGCCTACTGTCCACCCTAGGTGTCCAGCTCGCCCACCAAGGGCAGGGAGGTGCAGAGCAGGGCTGAGCGTCCCCACTGTTAGAGGGATGGGCTGAGGCCCAGTGGTGACAGGTGACTCGGCCACTGAGTTCTGTGAGGGTGCCCAGGGTGCGGTCCTGGGGGTGGAGGTGGGGGCAGCTCGATGGGCTCTTGTCCCAGCGACTCCTGCTGAAGGCGCATCTGGGAAGTTCAGAGTCTCCTCTACAGTGACCAAAGCTGGGACTCGGGGGGAGGGAGGGGTACCGCTGACCCAGTAAACACTTTTGGTTCTGATTCCAGGCCAGAGTCACCACTGGCACCACCCTGTCGGTCCACAGTAGGAGGCCCATCAGGACAGGGGGATGCCGATTGGGGCCACAGCTGAGGGGGCAGGAGAGATAGGGGAGCAGACAGGAGCAAGTCAAAAAGATTAGGTTTTAGTTCTGAGCACAGTTTGTACCTGGGGGACCCTGGGCAAGGCCATGTCTCTTTCTGAGTCCCCATTGCCGCATCTGTGAAATGGGGGCAAGAATTCCCCAGCCCCTCCCCCACCAGGGACAGTGAGACTGTGAATGAGCATGGTGGGGGGCTCTTTCGGGTCCAGTGACAGAGTGTCTGGTGACCTTCAGATCCATGGGGACCCAGCTTGTTGGAAAACGCTCAGCCCCCCAGGTAGAGGCGGACACAGGTAACCAGANGCTGAGCTCTGGAACCTGGGGGTGGAAAACGCTCAGCCCGCCAGGTAGAGGTGGACACAGGTAACCAGAAGCTGAGAGGGCGCCAATGTGNAAACGCTCAGCCCCCCAGGTAGAGGCGGACACAGGTAACCAGAAGCTGAGAGGGCCCCGCATGTGCAGAAGGTGAAGGTCAGCTCTCTGGGGTGCAGGGGGACAGGGGAGGTGCAGATGTGGGG